AAGGGATGACATTAGTGGTTAAAGAAGTAGCAGCTGCGGGTTTTAAGAATTGTTGCAAGAAGTGGAGAGTGGGAAAGTAGTTTGGATACAGAATGTGTGTGCTGTGTGTATGGAGTTTAGAAATGGGTGGGGAAAGAGAGAGAGGGATAGATAAGGTGACTTACTATTCATTTGGCATGTGTTGTATTTAGCATTTGGAGAATTATACCCTAGCAAACGTTTTCTAAAATTTGTTGAAGTAATAAAATACCATAGCAAGGCTTTTTTTCCCTTAAGAAATTTCAAAGGCATCTGGCCCAGCATTCCTGGTACACATCATTGCTACTTTATCACTGTTGGTTAAATCTAGGCATTGACTGGCTTTCCAGTAAAACAGAGGTACCTAGTTAAAGGACGCATTGGCAATTTAATTATTGTTTTCTAATGACCAGGCCAAGTGCTTCCCTGGTGGCTTAGCAGTAAAGAATCTGCCTGCCAATGCAGGAGGCTTGGGTTCAATCCCTGGGTCAGGAAGATCCCTTGGAGGAGGAATTGGCAAGCTACTTTGGTATTCTTGCCTGGAAAATTCCGTGGACAGAGGAGCCAGGTGGGCTACAGTCCATGGGATGGCAAGGAGTTGGACATGACTTAGTGACTAAACAGCAGCAGCAAATGACCAGGCCAAGGCATCTCTTGGGATTGGTAGAAGATTCTGTTGGGCTAAGGCTCCTTGAGGAGGCAGATCACAGGTAATTTTCCATTTGGACATGGACCAAAAAAAAAAAAGTGATTTTTTTTTTTTTTTTTTAAAGGTCATCTGCCTGGTACAAGGAAAAATGCCTGTGTAGGTTTTAATCATTTGATTAGAATACGTAGAGGCTGATCTTTGAGTTCAGTGGGCCCTCAGTAGAAAAATTCTAATAACTCCCTTTTACATCTCTGACCTACTGGGCTGATTCCCTGGCTCTTCTCCCAATGGTTTCTATTCATCCAATTGTTTCCTACAACTGAATCAAGCTGTCGTTTTCTTAGTAAACTCCAGGATGAGGCGAGTTTTCAAATCTGGTGTCTTCTTCCCTAATGTGGTTTTCATTGATTCTGAGAGTGGTTGGAACAGCAGTAGCTGGTTTATAATTCCCAGGCAGGGACTGAGACAATCTTGGGAGCCGCCGTGTGAGAACGCTGTCTTCCTTTGTACAAAGATGGCTTAGATTTCTTCACAGCTTCTTTTCCCGCGGCAGCTCAGAAGGTGTAAATGGGGTGGGGGATGGGGCGTGTGTCGAATGGAAAGGTTTTGTAATTTCAAGGCAACCTAACAAAACAGATCCTTCAGAATGTGGCAACCTAGTCCCAGGCACAAGAATCGCCTCCTCTTCCTGCGTCTGTAGCCTTTTGCATTACCCTGTCACTAGCAGAAAATAGGATTTCTCACCTATAGATGGAGAAGAGAGACGAGACTAGCCAGAACATTAGGTAGAAATTACTTGTCAAGTTTGATCAATTCAGAGAAAATCCAAATCCCCTTTGAAAACACACAGTTGATATTTGAAGATGAGCAGGGGATGTCCTTATAGATCCATTGTTTGGCCAAATTGTCTGCATATGCAGCGTGTTTGCTAAATGAATGATGCATTTGCATCTAAATGGCCCATAAGTAATTTGATTCTGCTCCAGACAGGGTAATAAACAAGCCCCCTCCCCACTGTTGGCCTTGTGAGCCGGGTGTGCGCCTGGACTCCTGTCTTACTGCTTGGATTGTGCTATTATTTGACAAGGCACGGGGGAAAGAGTACATGAATCTATTAAGGGGAACCAATCTCCATTATGCGCTGAGATTTGAGGGAACGGGCAGAGAAATCTTTCATAATGTACAGCTTCTGGCCTCCGGCTCTCTGAGCAAAAATTAGAAAAAAAAAAATCAAAGTTGCTGCCACTATAGCAAATCCTCTCTGCGTGCTGGGGACAGTGAGGCGTTAATTACCATCTGCACGCTGCTTTTTTATGAGAGTGTTAAGTGCCCATGCCTCCTGTCCAGCACCTGAGTGAGTATTTGTAGCTCACATGCGAACGTGGGACCCATGATCTGCGTTTGAGCTGAGATCTCTGAGGACATCAGCCACTAAGTGGACACAGCCAGGTATTCAGATCACAGGCTTTCCCTCCGTGTCCAAACTGATGAGTTCCAGCTCTTCACATGGAAGGCAGGGGGCTTAACGCCAGTTTCCAGTTTCCGTCTTGCAGTTATGTCCTGCCTATTATGTCAGAGCTGTGACTCTTTATGGCCTCTTTTCATGAGATTTGTGACGTTCCATTCTTTTAAAGGCTCCAAGGGGATAGTACACCTTGATTTAAGAAAGCTCAATATATTAATCCAGCTTCACTGGAGAGAAATATAGAAGGATGGTTATTCACTTTGCAGAAGGATCTACAATGGAATTCTTTAAGTAGTAAATATTATGTGTGGCGCTTAGCTTGTGATTTAGTTCATCATTTCAGGAAGAGGTTCTACTGGCACAATGCAGTCTACTTCTGAGATGTTGGTGTTTCTTACTTAAATGATTCACCCCTTGTTTCCCAGCCCACACCAGCATCGGGACAACCCAGAACTCAGGCAATCATCCCAGTGGTAGCTGCTTCGAGTCCCCAGTTTTGATCCTAGAACTCACAGCCTCTCATCCTTTATGGTGACAGGTCATATAAGTTGGCTCATGTAGTACAGATTCTAATTGCTTTTAGTTTGCTTTCTGGAGCTAGAGAGTCTGAAAGCTAAGGCCGATTCTGCCCAGTTTCCCTGGCATTAAGACTTAAGAAGGAATTCATAGGGCCAGGACTCCATCTCAGGCCTATCTGTGCTGATCATGCTTGGCTCCCTCTCCAGTGGACTCTGAACTCTCTGCTTAGTGCCTGTGGGAACGACAAAGGAAGGATAAGACCCCCTCCAGACAGGGGAATCTTGAAGATCACATCCAGGTTACTCATTGCCTAAGAGGAAACATACCGTAATCACCCCTGTCTCTGGACAGGTCATAAACTTTTTCCGCATCTATCAGGATGTAATCACAGGCTTATCGATTATTAACTGGTTGGAACGTGACCACAAGCTTATTGATTATTAACTGTTTGGAATGTAACTGCGGGCTTATTGATTATTGACTGTTTGAACACATAACACGTGAATGATGGGGTTACTGTAGTTGTATTTACCCTTCCTTTGTTTATGTAAGTCTCAAGGGAATTGGGGTGGTGGGTTTGGATACGTACACATCGTACACATGGGGTATAAAAGATTTTCACAAATGCTGGTCGGGATCCTTGGCTAAGAGGAGACTCTGCCTTGGGCCCGCCAGTGTAATAAACTGCACCCCACTATCTGCATTGTCCCTCTGAGTGAGTTTGTTTCCTGGAGAATGTGGCTACAACAAGACCTCCTCCTATGATTTAGGGATTAGATCTCCTGGCAAGTACAGTGGTAGGGATGTCTGGCCCTAGTAGGGGAGGAAAATACTTTCCCACTACCATCACCGACTCAATGGATGTGAGTTTGAGCAAACTCCAGGAGATGGTGAAGGACAGGGAAGCCTGGCGAGCTGCAATCCACAGGGTCGCAGAGTCGGAAGCAACTTAGCAACTTAATAACTAGCCTTCTGAGTTCTTGGCTAAGACTCCGTAATAAAACGCAGATGCACACGAGAAACAAACAGGAGTTTATTAACATGTCTGCTGCTTGTACATGTGAGAGATACCTGGAGAAAATGAGTAACTCAAAGAAGTGGCTTAGAATTCAGGCTCGGACTTTCTGCTAGCCCAGCGGTTAAGAATCTGCCTGCCAATGCAGGGACATAGGTTCGATCCCTGGTCCGGGAAGATTCCTCATGCTGTGGGAGCAACTGAATCCATGTGCTGCAGCTCCCGAAGCCCTCAAGCTCCAAAGCCTGTGCTCCACAAGAGTGGCCCACACACTGCAACTGTTCGCCCCAACTAGAGAAAGCCCGTGTGGCAATGAAGACCTAATGCAGCCAAAAATTAATTAATTAAAAAAAAGAATTCAGGCTAAATATCATCTTAACAGGGACAGGAGAGGAGGGTGAAATCCTCCTCTTAATGGGAGAAAAAATTGACTTCTAAGAAAGTTGAATGGACCCTTAGAAGAACAGATAGGAGAGATGATAGTTTGTGATGAAGTTTGTCTGAGTGAGGTGCTGAGTTCCTTTCTCTCCTGTGATACAGTCCATCTTCCCCAGTTGGTGAAATTCCTAGAGAGATGATTTATGACAATGGGTTTCCTCCTGGAAAATCTGTCTTTAGGTAGATAAGGGGAGTTCAGAAAAAGACTTCTCTGTGTATTTGTTATTTTCCCAGTGCCTAGGGCTCAATATAACCAATATGTCAAAGTGGCATGTTTTGGGGTGCTACATCCTGAACTCCCACAGTCCCATTTTGGGGAGCCATATTCTGCTACCCTTGAGGCAGCTGTGGCTGAGTCTCTGACCCCAGTATCCAGTGTGCACAGTGGTATTTCTGCCAGAAGAATTTTGAGGTATATATAGTTAGGTAGTTTTTGCTGGCTGCTCTGTCCCCAACTCTATGACTCTCGGGCCCTCCTGTGAACTACCTCATGTATTTTCTGCTTAAACGAGCTTCAGTAGGTGTATCGGCCACAGCCAGGAGGCTTTACTGATACACTCCCCCATTCCTGTGTGTCCGGGGTCTTTCGCCTTCTGGGCTGCGGTGTACAGCTGCGCAGGCGGCGCACTGCTCAACTCCAGAGGACGCCATTCCCACAGGCGGAACAGCTTTTCCTCACGGACCGGACCGCTCTGGTCTCGCGAGCCTCTTACCCGTCTCTCGGCTCTGGCGCTCTCGCTGCCCTCGTGTGGGCCTCACTCCACACCTTGTGCTGTAACCACCCAGGCGTGAAGGGAAAACTTCCTGCAGAGAAGACAGCTCTGTCAGCTCTCATGACCTGCTCCATGGGATTAAAACTCTTTAAGGCTAGACTTTCTCCTGTCCAGACACCTAGCCATTCCAGGGGCTGGGTGTATCAATCGTGAGTTTTATTTTCAATATTTTACGATGTTTTGACATCTTGGGGACTTGAGGACCCGGGAGAGGGACAGCCCCTCTGAAGGTTAGATGAGTCATTCCTCGAGAGTAGACAACTTCCCTGAGAGCCTGCCTCTGATGCGTAAATCAACCAATCCTGTATCCACCATGCTTGGACTACCTGATGTGAGAGCCGACGCATTGGACTAGACACTGGGAAAGACTGAGGACAGGAGGAGAGCGGGCAACAGAGGACGAGATGGTTGGAGGGCATCACTGACTCAGTGGACATGAGTTTGAGCAAACTCTGGGAGACGGTGGAGGACAGGGAGGCCTAGTGTGCTGCAGTCCATGGGGTCGCAGAGAGTCCGACATGACTGAGCGACTGAACAACCACCTTCCTCCTTTTATCAGGCACCTGCCCAAAATCACCCCAGGGGACAGTAACCTCTAGGAGGCCGCTGAGACTCAAATACTCAGTCCTCAACCCGCTCAGCTGCTTCCTCCGCCTCACCCAGCCCTTCTCAGGAAAAGCACAACAGTGGCTTTTGCCCGTGTTGCTTTATCCTCACCCCTGCCTCCTGTCCACCCCGATGTTTCCTTGTGTGGCTCTGGGTAGCATGCAGCACCCCCCACCCCCCCTTGTAAATTTTTACATAATAAACTTTTCACTCACAGGTATTTGTCCCTGTGTCTACCATCTTATCGTATCCGATTAAAACAAATCCTGGGCAACTGGAAACACTGGGAAAGGAAGTATTTGAGCAGCACTGCATAGCATCATGGGCTTCCCAGGTGGCTCAGTGGTAAAGAATCCCTCTGCAATCAGGAGACACAAGAGTGAGTGACTGACTGAAAGTCACTCAGTCGTGTCTGACTCTTTGCAACCCCATGGACTACACAGTCCATGGAATTCTCCAGAATACTGGAGTGGGTAGCCTTTCCCTTCTCCAGGGGATCTTCCAAACCTAGGGATTGAACCCAGGTCTCCCACATTGGAGGCGGATTCTTTACCAGTTGAGCTGCAAGGGAAGCCCAAGAACACTGCAGTGGGTAGCCAACCCTTTCTCCAGGGGATCTTCCTGACCCAGGAATTGAACCGGGGTCTCCTGCATTGCAGGCGGATTCTTTACCAACTGAGCTATCAGGGAAGCTGAGATGAAAGAGACGTGGGTTTGATTCCTGGGTCAGGAAGGTCCCTTGGAGGAGGAAATGGCAACCCACTTCAGTGTTCTTGCCTGGAAAATTCCATTGAGAGAGGAGCCTGGTGGACTACAGTCCATAGGGCTGCAAAGAGTATGACATGACTGACCACACACACACATAGTATCATATTCCAAAGTCTTTATTGCTTATGATGAACTGGGCTTCTCAAGACAGAACCCTTGTATTTTGATTGTCTTCTTCCTCAGGGAAGTTACGTGAAGGATTCCCCATCAGCGCATCCCCTCTCATTGTGTCACTGACCCTCAGACGCAAAGTCTCCCTTATCATTTATTTCAGAGAACCTAAGAACTAACATGAGTAAGGCTCTCTGTGACCTTCTAGAATCTCTAGCTCTTCTAGAATTTTGGAGGTGAATGTATAGATTGAGTTTCTAATAGGACTTTACATCTGGAAGAAGACTCAAAATACCTGTAGAGTTTATAGTTGCTCTACCAAGTCCCTAAACAATTATGGAATCTTAGAGTGATAAAGGACCCTAGGAATTACCTAGTCTAGATTCCTCCTCTGTGACTCCCTCCATTATTCAGTGTTTGCTTATTTATTTTTCGACTGCACTGGGTTTTCATTGTGGCAAGCGGGCTCCTTGTGATACACAGATTCACTAGTTGCGGCTCGCAGGCTTAGTTGCCCCATGGCATGTGGGATCTTAGTTCCCCAAACAGGGATTGAACCCACGTCCCCTGTGTTGGAAGGTAGATTCTTAGTCACTGGAGCACCAAGGAAATCCCTACTCAGTGCTTCTTCATCCAACCCTGTTCCTGTTGAGTGAATTCCTTCTGCCATTTCTGATGGTCAGTGACCCGTCCATTTGATCATCCCATTGCATCTGTGTTAAAGTGAATTGTTGTGTATTCTAGTGCCAAAGTTGATGAACCAGCCCATTGGACAAATCCAGTCTGCTGCCTGTTTTTGTAAATCAAGTTTTATTGGAGGACAGCCATGCTCATTCATTCAGGTGTGGTCTAAGGCTGCTTTCACACCACAGTGGCAGAATTAAATAGTTGCCCTAGACAGCCTATGGTCTGCAAAATCTCTAGTGTTTACTACCTGGCTCTTGTCCCAGCAGATAGAATGGGCCAGAATCTTGGACATTATTTACAAGTTCTTCAGGGACAACGCCAAATTATTTCTCCATGAAGCATTTTTTAATCATAATAGCTTCCATTAGGGTCCTCTTCAAACCATGTCAGTTAAAGTCTTCATTATTTCATTAGCTCTTTATTCTTCAAGGCTGTTGAGAGAGGATGGTCCATGAATTGCTCATGTTTCTATACATCTAGGCATGATGAGCCAATTTGCTCTAGAACAGTCTTTTGAGGAATGTTAATGTAAATATGGAGACAATGACTCCTTCTAGAACAAATTTGTTTACGTTCCTGGGTAGTAAAAATAGAAGTATTCCCTCCTCAGAGAGATTTGCTTATATTCCAGGGTAATAAGGATTCCCTGGGGGCTCAAATGGTGAAGAATCTTCCTGCAATGTGGGAGACTCAGGTTCAATTCCTGGGTTGGGAAGATCCCCTGGAGAAGGGAATTGCAATCCACTCCAGTATTCTTACCTGGAGAATCCCATGGACAGCGGCGCCTGGCGGGCTACAGTCCTTGGACTTGCAAAGAGTCGGACATGACTGAAACGCACAGGGTAATAAAAATAATCTCTCCAGAAAGGAAGATGGCAGTCTGCCTAGCAACCCCACCTAAGATCAGAGTCTCCTGATCTCAGGGTCCCTCTCCTTAATGGTCCCCACACTGTGCTCAGGCAGCACCTGTTCATCATCCTATTGGAACTGGGGCTCAGGAAAGTGAAAGTGAAGGCACTCAGTCGTGTCCAACTCTTTGCAACCCCGTGGACTGTAGCCCACCAGACTCCTCTGTCCATGGAATTTTCCAGGCAAGAGTACTGGAGTGGGTTGCCATTTCCTTCTCCAGGGGATCTTCCTGACCCAGGAATCGAACCCAGGTCTCCTGCATTGCAGGCAGACGCTTTACTGTCTGAGCCACCGGGGAAAAAGCTCAGGAAACCTGGACTCAGATATTCTTCTTGCTGTAAATAATAAATTGTCTAGGGACTTTTCTGATGGTCCAGTGGTTAGGAATCTGCCTTCCAATGATAGGGACGCGGGTTTGATCCCTCATCGGAGATCTAAGCTCCCACCTGCCTCGGGGCAACTAAGTCAGTGCGCCACAACTGGAGTTAAACCCACGCACTGCAGTGTAAGGTCCCGCGTGTCGCAACTAAGACCCGATGTAGCCAAAGAAACACGTCCAAGTCCATCTGCGCTCATTGTCTTCCTCTGACGACAACTACGGCTGCATGTCATTCAAACCAACCAAATGCCACTGGGCTGCTGCTTAGGAACTGCTGGGCCATTAGACAGTTGCTTGATGCACGTGTTAATGTATTTATTGTGTTTCCTTGAGTTCACTACAGTTCCTGAGGGCAGGGACCAAACTGTTCTTCCCTTTGTATCCTCCCGTAAGCCCAACACACGTAGGCATTCACTCCTATTTTGTTGCTCTTGCTGTAGGCTGTCATACATCCTGTTCGGAAGTGCTCTTCTTAATGGCTGCCTGAAGACTTGGGACTATTTCTAAATTGCCATGGCTTCCTTGTGCCCAGTTGCCTCAAGACTCTGGGCTCTCAAGACACCCCAGGCTTTGTTAAACAATGGAGGTGAGTTCCAGCCCCACCAGTGCCCACCCAGAGGGCAGCCCACTGTGGATGCAGGAGCAGAGCCTAGGGAATACAGCCCCACCAGCCCTGCAGCCAGGAAGTTGGCCATACACGTGGCTCCCCAGATTAGGGGCAGAATGAGCAAAGGGCGACACTGCCAATGAGGGCTTGCTGTGGCTAGTAACCCGCACCCACGATAAAACAAACGCACTTTATGGACTCGTTCCTCTTAGGTTTGCCAGATTTAGCAAATACCCTAATACTTTTTATTTTACTAAGTGGTCCCACTCTCTGCAGTCTCCCCTCTAGAGCCCATTCCCCAACTGAGCCTTGCCCTTGGGGTGTGGCCACATCACTAAAGCAGACCCAGTGATAATGGTTTTCCCGATTCTCCTTTTTCACAGAGCCTGGCTCCTGGGCTGGTGAAGATGCAGATCTGAATGTATAGAGGATGGACCCAGACTTCCAGGAGACCTTCCCTGAGTTTTTCTGGCTGCCTCGATCTTCTGTCATTGTTTGCAGGGAGCAGGACCACCAGGTAGGTGGTGGGCTCGGCTTTTGAATGATCTGGAAGCGTTTCCATTGGAGGAAGGGGGATCCCTTCCAGGGCCTGAGGGTGGGATCAAACACTCAGAAATGAATTATCAGAGGAGACATACATGCTGACAAAGCAAAAGACTTTATTGGGAGGGGGCACCCCGGTGGAGAGCAGCAGAGCAAGGGAACCCAGCTATCACACGGCTCACAGTCTCGGGGTTTATGGTAATGCAGTTGGCTTCTGGGTCGTCTCTGGCCAATCATTTTGCTTGTTGCCCATGTGTGGTCTGAATCAGAGTCCTTCTCAGCCAAGGTGGATTCGAGTGTGAGAGTTTCTGGGAGGTAGGTAGGATATACCATCTCCTCCCTCCTCCTTTCGACCCTTCTCCAAATCTCTGGTCACTTTTGGCTGTAGCGTCGTGTTCTTTTTCGGGACCTCCTGTTGTGAGACAACTCAGGCAAGCAATTTATTTTCATGCCCAGCCAAGGCAGCCAGTTTCACTCAACAGTTCTCTAACATTTCGATGTATTGAGGTGCTTGATTTCCTGTTGATTGTGTTTTGTTTTTTAACTCTCTAATTGCCAGGATTATGGGTCAAGTTGGATATAGAAATCACGAAATGTCTATCTCCTTGTATTAACAAAAGTTGATACAGAACCTAGGAAGAGGTAGAGAGAGGGGAAGATGGAATAACCTCCTGGATGGGTGATAATCCACGTCCCTAGCTTTGATCCTTAATAGATGCTTTTTCCTTGGGCCCCCCCTTGCAGAGGATGTACAGAGTTTATCTTGTCTACCTCTAGGCTAATAAGAAACTAGTTCGTGATTTCCTTTCCTCTCGCCCATAGGCAAGACTTATGTGGGGCTTAGCTCTGAGCTGCTGCTGAAAGTGGCCTGATAATTCACATCCCGCATGGACGGCCCTGGAACACTGACACCTGCTCAGGCATCCTGGGGAGATTTGCAGGATAAATAAATGCCTCCCTGGGTATTTGTGAGGTAACTCCCTGTCAGGGCTAGGGGCAGAGATTTTAAACATAAATTACCATCCCAGCCTGGCAGGGGTTTATAGGATGAGCCCCTTATGTGCTCATGGGGAAGATTTACACAGTCCCTTCATCGGCACCAGGCTGCCGGAGTTGTTACCGCGTGACACTCGGTGCTGGGGACCCTTCTATGCTGGCTTCCATCCACTAGCCCCAGTCATGGCTCCGGCATCACGGCTGGCAACCTCCAGCATCCTGCCTGCCCAGCTTTCTTCTCTCCCTCTTCTGTGCCTGCCACCCACCACCTCTGCCTCCAAGGGACAGGAGAACAGAGTTCCCTCTATTGCTTCTCACAGGGAACCCCTTCCTGACTCCTCTCCTTTTTGGACTCTGTTTCCTGCTCCTCCATCCGAATGTAACCGGTCACTTCCTGTCACCTTCTTTCCTGCCTTCCTCCCTCTCGAGGAAGGACTGGCCTGCGCCTTCAGGAGGTTTTATCTGCTCCTTTGTTTTCTGTGGCCCCTGTTACCACCGGTGTGCTCAGCTCTGGATTTGAGAATCCAATCATCAGTCACATAACCCTTGCAGAATCCTGTGGGGGAAAAAGTGTTAAAATCAGAATCCCGGGTTCCACTCTGAGTCTCCTAAATGAGAATCTCTGGTTTCTGGATATTAGAAATCAAGTTCTGTTGATCATTCTTTATATTTGCTTATATCTGACTCTGTCGGGTCTTCATTAGTGCTTAGGCTTTTCTGTAGTTGCAGCGATCGGGGGCTTCTCTCTAGCTGTGGTTCGTGGGCTTCCCATCGCTGTGGCTTCTCTTTTGTGGCGCATGGGCTCTTAGTGCAAAAGTTTTGCTAATTGTGGCACACTGGCTAAGTTGTTAGGCAGCCTGTGGGATCTTCACAGACCAGAGATCAAACCCTTGTCCCGTGCATGGGCAGGTGGAATCTTTATCACTGGACTGCCAAGGAGGCCCTATTCATCATTCTTAAGCACATTATTAAGCACCCTAAAGTTTGGGAAATAAAGCCCTGCATCTCAGGGAGGGTTCAGGGCTGGACCTCTCTCCCTGGCTGAATTTCTCAATGGGTGAGTGTCCCCCTTCTTTCAGTGGAATCTCTCTCTGGCACTCAGCAACCTTACTGTGCATCTTTAGCGTATTTTTAGGGCAAGGGAAAATTTGGGACACCATAGGGTGCAGAACCATTCCAAGAGAGGCCATGGCCTGACAACTAATGTGACTCATGAATATTCATGCTGGTCCTGTGGTCAGTTTTGATCACTCAGCTCAATTCAAGGCGCTCTCTATAAGCCTTTGTGAGAGCAGGAAACAGGTTCTGGGAAGAAGGACATAAGGAAGAAGATGGAGGTTAAGATGAATTGACAGGCAATAGGATTAAAATTCTTGCTCAATCCTGATCTTGCGAGTAACTAACAGTGGCCTGAAATTAAAGAATTAAACCATGAAGGCTCCCTTGACAACTGATCTGATAGGCCCAGAAGTAAATTTCAGGGACCCTGTTGTCAGAGGCAGGGGAGAGCTCAGATAAGGGGTGCTGGGAGGAAGCGGATGGGCAGGGAAGGCCATGGGGGGAGGCTGTCCCTCTTCTCAAGGCAGCACCAGAGGCTGAAATGGTACTGGGGGTATATCAGTTGCCAGGGCTTTTATTCACCTTCAGAAATACTTTCTTCCTTGCATCCAACTATGACTTTGAAATGGAGGCAAAAAAATGAAACGGGGAGGAAGATAATGAAACATAGGTCAAACGTGGCAGCTGGTGAATTTCTGATAATTGCGCTTTCCCGTATAGCATTTCATTTCTATTCCCTGAAGTCGCACAGAACCCTGTGGGGAGGAAAAAGATCCCACAACAAACAATAACAACAAGCAACTCTGAAGGGTTCAAGGAAACAATATCAAATGCAATTTAATGACATTTTTCATGGGAGATAGGGTAGAGATAAACTGATATTCCAAGCCTGCTTCTTCTAACATTATAAGAAAGCCTAGAAAATTACATAAACATCAATTTAGGTCAAGTAAAATGATCCTTGATTTCCTTTCTGTCTCTCTCATCTCAGTACCCCAAAAAGAGGTTAAAAAGGAGAGAGGAATATTTGTAGTATAGTATTCTATATACTATACTACATTAGAAAAGGCAAACTCTAAGCCTTGTAGGTAACCTATGTAGTAATCTGATTTGGGGGGAAAAAAAAATCAATGCTTATCTACAACAGATTGTTTGGATCTCATAACAGTGAAGTTTTTCTTGGCTGTCTGTTCTCCAGGTTAATACAATAGAGAGCTCAGCAATTCTTAAGGAAATCTTCAGAACAAATCATCTGAAGGTCTAACAATCTGCTAGGAGACTCTGCTCTTGATGCTGTTTGTAGCTCAACTTTAATCGAAGCATGATTCTTTGACATCCCAACCATGATCCCTTCCCCTTCCACCAAAATCGCATCCAAATGGAAGCTTCAACAAGCCTCACTTCTTTCCCTGACACTGAAGCCACTGGGATCAGAATCACTGATTCACTATTGGCCTTGGAGATTCTGCTTCTTACCAGGTACCCAGCCTGGAGTTTCACTGTGACTTTTATCCTAGTGGTAACCAGGCCTTAATGTGAAAAGAGTGCTGGCCTGTGTAGACTGAGAATTGTGAACAGCGTCCTTGTTGGGTTGCAGCGAAGTATCCAGATGAAGCTAGATTAGCGCTGGATACCATTCTTCGTGTAACAACCCCTGACCTGTTCCCTCTCAGTCCCTCAGCTTCGTGGATGAGGGTCCTGTTTTTGCATTCACACATGTTATGCCATGTTATAGTCACTGCCCACTGTGTCATTCTCAGATGTTGGATATTTCCAATCTCTTGTTGCAAAGTGAAATATTTCTTTAGGCTTTGGTCTACAGGTGGAGTAAGAAAGATGACCAATGAGAACAAGTAACGAGAGACTATACTTTTGTAGAGTTTGGTCTTCCCTTTTGGACTGGGATTGCCAACAGGCTGGTTTTATGAGCCATAATTTTTCCATGAAAGTCATCAGATAGAACTTTCCACACTAACTATAATAGGGAAGGATCTGGAATAGAGAAAGGAATGCCCTGGAAGCTTCTTTAAAGCCTCAGACTCCCTTCTCCAAAACAATTTGCATCTTCCCAATAATTTGCTATTTGGCTGGCTTGGCTATCATTTCTGTCCTGTCACTGTGGCCACTGGGATCTTATTTCTCCTTCCAAAATCCCCTTTCCCTATCCTGATGTATGCATCAGAACTGCCCATGCAGTGATAATGCAGGTAAATGTTTAATGATTAGTTTTTCAAGTGGGAAACACCTTATAGCATTGCCAATTTCCATGGTGTAAACACTGCCACCACAGCCAGTTTCAAGCTGTTTCCATGAGATCACCAAACATGGGGATGGTAGCACATTTATATAATTTAATTTTTAATCATGGCTATGCTTAACAATTTGTAAAATTCCTAAAAAATTTAACAACTGTTACATAAGCCAGCTCTAATATACCACTCTGTCTTGGTCTGGGAAAAGATGGAATAAAGGAAGAAATGAAAGGGTGTATTTAATACTAGAGTACTAAAAGGCCTCTATGCCATTCAGACTTTATGCCTGGCCCTTCTGAGAGTGGGTCCAGAAATTCCTAGAAATGATGTAGTTGGTATTGGTCCGAAGCCAGGACTTTGGAGCAAGACACAGACTTCCAGTCTCCGCTGTACCGTCTGCTAGCTGCGTGACCTTAGACAGTGTCTAACCCCTTTGCTTAGGTTTCTCATGGGTGAAATAATAGTACCTGCTTCATAAGGTTGTGTGTGTGCGTGCTAAGTTGCTTCAGTCATGTCTGACCCTTTGCGACCCTGCAGACTGTAGCATGCTAGGCTCCTCTGTCCATGGAATTCTCCAGACAAGAATACTGGACTGGGCTGCCATTCCCTTCTCCAGGGGATCTTCCTGACCCAGGGATTAAACTGGCATCTCTTACATTTTCTGCATTGGCAGGTGGGTTCTTTACCACTAGTGCCACCTGGGAAGCCCTCATATAGTTGTAATGGGGATTAAATGAGGTAATATGCTCAAAGTACTTAGCCCACTAAGTTACATAATAAAACCTCAATAAGTGTTAGCCGTGAGTACCGTTGTGATTAAACTGATCCATTTCTAAAAGGTCCACAATCTCCACAGGTGGTGATGGGATCTATCCTAGATGCAAATTCATGGAGAGAAGGATAATTAAGACCATCTTCCTTACATGATCTGACTCCATTATAAACAGACCATTTATGTAAACTCAGCCTCAAGGCTGGGATGTCCTTTTCACCATACTTCCTGCTTGAGGTTCACATGCTGGTAACTCATTTCTTGCTGTAAAAGGCTGCAGTCATCCTAGGCCTACTTTAAAATGCAAATAAAACTGGTCCCCCATATCCATGGGTTCTGACTTGACTGTACTGAGCCATTTTATATGAGGGACTTGAGCATCCATTGATTTTGGTATCTGCAGGTTGGTGGTGGGGGGGAGGGTGGGGGGCTTATCCTGACCCAGACCCCTGAAGATATAGAGGGCTGACTGTACTCTTTAGACAGTGGGTAATAAGTTTGCACCTAGGTGCGCAAGTGGCAGTCAGATCCCAGGGCTCTACGTTGAGCTGACTCCTGGGAATCTAAAAATGAGGAGCCTGCAGTGGGTGATCTGACACAGAGGGGGGCCTGAGGCCACTGAAGACCCCACTCTTTGGTTCCCCCCCCCCACCCCGGCCATGTCCCTCCCTACACTTCCAGGTTGACCAGTTCTTTGAGCTGAGATGCCTCTAAAATCAAAGCCACTTCACACTCTGTCTCCCTGCTCCCCAGGTGTCCCGGAACCAAGACCCAGTGGACCCTGGGGCCCACAGTCCACAGATGAGGTGGGAACATGCTGACTCTCTGTAGTTAGTGGGCCAGGTTCAAGTCATGATTGTGACCTTGGGAAGGCCATTTCATGTCTTTGAACTTCTATGTTTTTTAATGTATTAAAGATGCTGATGAGAATTCACCCAAGAATCAAATGGGGGAGCAACTTTGTGATGATAAAGCTCAGCACAGCACACCTTGTTGGTACCATTTTCTATCCCTGCTCATAGTTTTTAGTTTGCTCCCTTTTCTTCCATTCTTCACACACGGCTGTAGAGACAAAGGCCTTCTTGGGACCATCATAGATGGATGACAATAACACATCTCTACCCTGTAGTCTAAAACGTTGCTGGAAACCAAAAATATCAGTTCCTGCCTGGGCTCACTTATTCATAATACAGTCTTGTGTGCACTAATAATAACCTGAAGTTATTCTCAGTTGGCTCATGTAACTTGGCACTACAGGAAGGCAGAGATGATGTCTGCAGGAGCCCTAAGGCCCTGTGGACAGTAATTAGACTCTCGCTGAGGTTTGGTTTGTTTATCTTGGGCACCTGTGATGCTACACAAATGTTTCAAAGTGGTGGAGGACCAGGAACCGGAGAAGGAATGCAGCTTCCGGAGACAACAGACTTACAGTCAAGTGGGGAGGGTCTTAGGTTCTGGGGAAGGACCTGGGGGGTAAAGGAAGGAGCCAGTCTCTCCCCACATGAGCCAACCCGTCTCTGCTTGTTCCGTTCTCGGCAGGAGACGCTGGCACCTTATAGGATGCTGTGACAGTGCTGAAAGGAGCCCACGACTCTTTCCTTGGGGCTGCAGAGATGGCGTCTGCCTCCACGAGTAACACGATGTTTATTAGCCTCCTTAGGGCTCCTAGAGAACGAAACCCCAGCTCCCAGGCCCCAGCGGTTACTGTCTAAGCAGAGGGAGCTGTGTTATGCACTCCTCCGTGGGCTGGCACCGCCCTGCTGGAACTGGAGCTGGAGGTGGACGGCACAGGTGGCCACAGGATTGTTGGGGGAAGGGAAGGTTGCTCTTGTGTTTCAGGATCAGTTATTTTTGGCTGAGAAAAGATGGCTGATGCCCAGCCAGGGCAGGTTGCCTGAAACTAAGTCCTCAGCGGGAGGCCTGCCAGGACCCAGCCGAGATAGCCGAGGTGAGGGAATGGGGCTGAGAGCAACGTCTGGTTGGCGAAAGGTCCACTAGTGAGCATCATGTGGGGCTTGGGGGTCCCATGCTTCTGGTGCGGATGGGGAGTGGCCAAGGAGAGGGCAAAAAATGACAAAAGGAGGTAAGAGAGGACCTCCTGGGAAGATTTACAGGTGTTCAGCTTCCATTAGAAGAGACAACGTTGACTAAACGCACTTACTTTCTTCAAAAACCCAAGAGACTTCCGCAACAAGACATTGGCTTATTCTGACAGCTGAGTTAAGAGAAAGCCATCTACACCTGCAGGCAATGTGGATTTTTGTGGCCTCTTCATTCACCCTGCAGCAGAGTGGTGGATGCAGACTGACCAGTGATAGCATCTGTGTGCCAAATGGGGCCCTTGGCATGTTTTATGTATTTATTTTTTCAGCTGCATCACGTGGCTTGTCAGATCTGTTTCCTGACCAGGAATCGAACCCGTGCTTCCATCATTGGAAGCGCAGAGTCTTAACCATGGACCACCAGGGCGTTTTAGAAGTAAGCAAAGGAAAGAGGACCCTCCCAGGTGTCTGAGTGATGGGGCCAGGCCTCTGGGCCAGAGGACCAGGTGCACCCTCCAAATTCCTTGTGTCTGCTGCTGAGTCATGGTTCTGGTTCTGAACTGTCGAGAGCACAGAGGAATCTTTGCTGGATACAAAAGTGCTCCACCCCAAGGGAAAACACTGATGGATTTTGTAACTTGATAATAAAGCTCTCTCTGGGGAGAATGCCCTCTCAAAGGTAGGAGATTAATTTTATCCTTTGCTTTTTTTGGCTGCTTCTCTTCCCCCGTGTCTTGCCCATTCTTTTCTATGACTTGCTCAATGAAAGGCAAAGAGGTTTTCTAGAAAGCACCAAACCCTTGAGGCCTTTGATTTCAAAGAAGGAAAAAATGGCCCGGGCTGTGAGGGCAAGCTCACAGCAGCCTGCCTGCCAAGAGAGGGTTCAACCTCTTGCCTGCTCCCCTGAACCCCAGGATCAACCCAGAGGACACATGGCGTGAGGGTACCTCCAGCCCCGCGCCCTGGAGGAGACACTGTCTCGTGTCTAAGCAGCATGGCCCCTGAGGCTCCTGCAAAAGTGGCAGAGTTGTGTCTAGCTGGTCTGCAATACACACCCCTGAGCTGGCCAGGTCCTCTTCCGTAATCTGCTGTCTCCACACCCTTCGGAGTTAGCTCACTCTGAAACAGACTGAAAGGAGGAGGGGGAAATTATGTGGACACTAAGTCTCCTTTCAACCCCAAGAGTCTGCCTCATGACCTCGGTGACTGTTGCTCATTCGAGCAGCAGGAGAGAAGGGAACTGAGGGTGGCAAGCAGTCACCATTCTGATGGAATCCGGTTAAGAAGCGTTCTGTAAAACTACACCAACAAATCAGGACAAACGTCACACCAAGGTCTTGCATCACAGGATGTTTACATAATATAATGCCCATGGCAGACAGATACCAAATACCACAAAGTACCTGAGACAAAAAAAAGAAAGGAAGGAAGGAGGGGAGGAGGGAGAATAGAAAGGAGCCCGGAGTCCTGGCACACGGAGATCTGAGGGCCCAGGCAGAGTTTCTCAGGGGAGGAGTGGCCACACGTGAGCGTCCGGTGGCCTCCGTGTCACATCTCAGCCTCCGCGGAGCATATCTCCGCGGCTGCGGAGATGGCGATCCCAATGGCCAGACTGCCGTTGTCGGAGAAGTGCTGGGCCAGCGAGGTGTTGATGACGAGGCAGTCCCCGTTGGTGATGACTGAGTCCATGCACTCCAGGACAGACCGGGGCGTGGCCTCCCACTTGAGACACCGGTGGTTTCTGTTGAGCTCCAGGCGATAGGTGAAGCCGTCGGCCTGGGTGGGGGTCCCGATCAGCATCATGGTGGCGAAGAACTGGGGGTGCCCTGCATACCTCTCCTGTTTCCTGAGCACCAGCAGGAAGTGGTGGCCGAAGCAGGAGTGGATGATGAGCCAGTCGGCCGGCGCGGGGAGGTGCATGTCCATGGCCAGGAAGACGATGTCGGCCCCCTGGAGAATGTCCACCCTGTGCATCTGCCGCAGGTGGGGCACCACCACCTCCAGGTGGCCTTCCCACTGGCAGGAGAACAAGGGGCACAGGCAGGGCATCACCCGGGCGGTGTGCAGCCCCGCCTCCGGGTGGTGCAGGTGGTGGGGCCGGGCGTGGTGGCAGAGGCGGTGGTGGGGCTGGTGCTGGCAGCGGTGCTGGCAGTGGTGGTGCGCGGGGAGGTGAGGGGCGTAGCTGCTGGGCCCCGGGGCGCTCTGAGTGACGGCATGTCGGCTGGACACATACTGTGAGAGAGACAAGAGACTTGGTGGGTTAGTGGCCGTGAGATCAGTCTCTCTGGCTGAGGACCACCCCCCTAACCCCCAGGTTCAGCGTGTGGAAAGCAAACTCTCCAATACAGGTGATGACACGCGGTCGCTCAGTCGTGTCTGACTCTTTGAGACCCCGTGGACTGTAACCCGCCAGGCTCCTGTGTCCATGGCATTTTCCAGGCAAGAATCCTGGAGTGGGTTGCCCTTTCCCTCTCCAACTGATACAGGTAGAGAAAGCTTTATTTCATAAAAAAAAAAAAAAAAAAATAGAACCGCCAGACTGTTCTCTGAAATGGCAGCACCATTTTACATTCCCATCAGCCAAGTAAGAGGGTTCCGATTTCTCCATGTCCTTGTCAACACTTGTTATTATCTGTTTTGACAAATAGGTTAATGAGACTGAATTCATTGTTTTGCATATTTTGCCAAATTTAGATGCTGAAACATTGTACATCTGTGTGTCATTTCAGGACAGAATGTAAATTTACCCAATTGAAAACAGAACCTCCTTCAAAAGATTCCTCCTGCAAGAAGAGATTTTCCAAATGTATTAGTATATTATTAAAAAAAAACACAAAAACAACTTTAAAAAATGAGGGACGTGGTGGATGTCTTGAGTGGTTGAGATTCTGAAGACTCAGTCCAAGAAAATGCAATATTTATGCCTTTCTGATTCTTTAATAAGATACTCAAACAGGCAATTTCCCCCTTTGAATAGCATGCATTATGATGGTCATAAGGAACAAAGAAATCAATTTTTCTGTTCTTTTTTGATATTGTTAATATTTTTCTGCAGGGTCTGGAGGTCAATGGATTCCCACTCCCATCTGGCCCTATTTTATCATTAGTGTTATTTTTAGGACAAAATTTCGGTAAATAACCATTTGTCCTTCCAGTGCTGCCGGGGAGGTACTATCTGAGATGCCCTTCTGGGCTGTAAAACCACCATGGCACGCAGAGCTGACTGTGTGCAGCTGGACTGTGGTCCCCAGGGCGGGGGTCTCCGCTGTGACTCCTGGGACTTGGCTCTACCAGGCACACATCTGTCCTGCTTTAGACTCATTGTTAAAGAACAACTTACCAGGGGCTCACCACCAGGCTTCCTAGGTGGCACTAGTGGTAAAGAACCCACCTGCTGACGCAGGGACACGTTAAGAGGCGCAGATTCCATCCCTGGGTTGGGAAGATCCCCTGGAGGAGGGCATGGCCACCCACTCCAGTATTCTTGCCTGGAGAATCCCATGGACAGAGGAGCCTGGCGGGCTACCGTCCATAGGGTTACAAAGAGTTGGACACAACTGAAGCGACTTAGCAAGCACACACGCAGTATTGATATAAAATCAAAGTAAGGAGGGAGTCAGGAAGAAACAGCACAGCCTGCCTTTCTTCTCTCCCCCCAGCCCCCTGCTGGTGCCTCCTGTTGGCTGAATGCAATCAGAAGAAAGCCTGGGAGATGCACTCAGCCAGGGTCAGCTCCCGCTGGAAATGCGCTTGTGAAGAGGCAATGTCCACCTGCATGCAGATGTCTCGGTTCCCTCCTCTGTGATGTTCCTTGATCCGACCACGCTGGGCTTCCTTGGCTGAGCTTTGATAAGGCCGATGAGGGGGAGGTAGGGAGGGCTGATACCTGTCCACAATCATTAAGCCATCTGACGAAAATGTATACACCAGCTGACACGTGCAGCGCCTGGGCAAGGGCTGAGAATACTGAACAGGGTATGATCCCTGCTCCCGTCTCAGCAGTTCACTGTGATTAGTATAACATAACACAGTGCAAGGATGCAGGACGCCGGGAGGGGCTCTGAGCGTGCAAAGTGGGGGCAGTAGCTGTTCTGGTCAATGCGAAGTGCTGTCTACCCTCGGTGAAGCAGGAAGGGTGACGCTCTAACAAAACGGGCAAAAGGTTTGTGAGTAGCAGGTTCCAAGGAGCCGGATCTGAAAGAACATGGGATGTTTAAGAAATGAGAAATTCCAAGTGGCTGTTGCTAGGGGATCTGGCAGAGATGGCGAGGAGCAGGGCGGGAGAACCATCGGACCATGCTGCCAAAGAGTGGGCACGGAGGTGGCACCCAGCACTTGGGGCAATTGGGAGGAGGGCCCAAGGGCTTTAGGGAGCCCCCTTGGGCAGTGCGATGCCCCAAGCCTAGCGGTAGAGCGTGCACTCAAGATGGGACCACAGTGGAGTCCTGGCAATTGTCCAACCCCTGGACTCGAGCCATGATCGTTCCAGCCAGACTCTCCCCTTCCTTCCTTCTGGCCTCATCTTCCCCTGGCCTTCCCACTGTTTAATTGCTGCAGGGTAACAAAGCCTCCAGCGGTGTATTCCTGAGTGAATGACTATGCAAATACGTCCTAAACTCACTGAGACTCCTGCACTCGCTTGCTGTGCCCTGGGAAGGAGCTGAGAATAAACACAGCCTTAATCCTTCATTTCTTCCTGCTCCTTCTCCTGATGCAAAATATGTTTCATTTACACACACAATCTTCAGGGTGAGCGAGGTCACAGGGCCGCTGGCTGGGAGAAGGGATTCTTTTAATTGGCAAAATGCTAATCGTTTTGGAAAATGAATTCTAATCTTCCCATCTTATACAGTGGATGTGTGAGTAATTACTTTCCTTCACTAAACTGTTAATGCAACATTAGTGATTACACTAATTAAAACTAATGAACTCTTCCAGGCTGATAAACCCCTCAGTCAGTCCGAGGACGCCTTCCTTCCATTGGCTGTCCTTAACTTGCCATTTGGAAGAGAGATCTTGAATTAACCTTTAGAATAATTCGCAAAATTGGGTTTAGAAATGTTAGGCTTCATGGACTGGGTATAATTCTCTCCGCAAGCATTAGTGAGACCATTTCCACTGAGGGTGTAATTGAATTTAAAGACGTCTTCCTTAATTTCATCAGCCACACTCCCATGATTGGTAATGGCTATCCCTCCAAATCCTGGTGTCCAAAGAGGAAACCTGCCCCTGGAAACACCATGTGACCCTTTCTCCAGCCTCTGCTCCCTCTGATCTGTGAGCTCATTTGGAGGACTGCTCTGTCCTTCTGCCTGATTCCAGGAACAGTGCCATGCTAATGGAGGCATTTCAGCTGAAGGTGGGTTTTGCACCCAATTTCAAATGACAGTCATGGGTTTTGAGTTTGCTCATGTCCTTATTTATGAGAGTTAATGAAGTGAAGCTTTCAGTACTTTCAGCAATGCTATCGATGTATTTCACACACAGAAGAGAAGATGGGGAGGAGTTATATTTCAGGGCAGGTATCAGGACGTTGGAAAAGACCCCGATGCCGGGAAAGAGTGTAAGCAAAAGGAGGAGGGGGTGGCAAAGGATGAAATGGCTAGATAGTATCACCAATTCAATGAACGTGAATTTGAGCAAACTCCAGGAGATAGTGGAGGACAGAGAAGCCTGTTGGGCTGCAGTCTATCGGGTCAGAGAGAGTCGGACATGACCTCGAGACTGAACAACAACAACAACAACAACCAGAACGTTGGAAAACAGTCATGGCCAGAACCTAGCTGGGCGTCAGGTCTGCAAAGATGGAAGAGTAATTGTACCTGCTCCAGGTCCCACTCTGTAGCGTTTAAAAATTCCCTGTTTCTGGCAAGGATGGTCAAGGCTGAAGGTTTAGTGTTTCCCATTCCATTTTCTCGCCTCTCCCCCATCAAAACCTAGCATGACTGCACATGTGCACACACGAAAGCCAGGACGACTCTGGAAAAGCTTCCACCAAACAGTCAAGAAATAAGTTATGCTGAGATAGAAAACAACGATGGGGCTTTTATTTCCACTAGACTGTCTTCCTTCAAAAATGTGTGTTATGCTGCTTTTCCCTAGACTGTTATACTTAGAACACTGAATGAATGAGATCTTCATGTGGGCAGCATGATAATGTCTGTAATTTTCTTTAAAATGCTTCAGTTGAGAGATTGTGATAGAAATGTGTACATTTTTAACCTACACTCCAGGGGCTGCCAATTCCCTAATCAGGAATTCACACTTTGAGGTGATCACCTAACATTTTATCTGAAAGGCCACACTTCAGAGATAATAACTACAATTGCCTGGCTTAGTATCCATATTTCTGATCCACACCAGATGCTGCTAATTAACATTTCCACAGAGGTTTCCATTGGTGAAATTAGTAGTTTGTTAATCAGCATAATAGATGTATGAAGATTGTTTAAAACATTTCAGAATAATTCTGTATTTTAAGGATGAACCCAGGAGTTTGTTCCATAACTATTCCTGAATCTAGCCACTGAGTCAAGGACTTCCCATGATCTGATGCCATCTCTAAGAATATCAGAATCTTTTTCTTGTTAGATCACTACATACGTACAAACTGTTCCTGTTGGCAGTAAAAATTATGTAAATTGAGCAAGGAGACAATGGTTAGCAAATATACAGAAACTCTGAGTCCTGAGCTATATATGCCATGGGTGAGCACGTGCTAAGCTGCTTCAGTCATGTCCGACTCTTTGCAACCCCACAGACTGCAGCCATCTGTCCATGGGATTCTCCAGGCAAGAATCCTGGAGTGGGTTGCCATGCTCTTCTCCAGGGGATCTTCCCAACCCAGGGACTGAACTTGCATCTCTTACATCTCTTGCATTGGCAGATGGGTTCTTTACTACTAGTGCCATCCAGGAAGCCCCATATATGCTGTAACTAATTAGAGAAGAGGGAAATGAGTTATTACTGTGAAAAGAGGAAGATAAAAATTTGGGTGGATCGATTTTTAAAAACCAAGGTCTGTGGGTGAAAAGGGGCAAAAGGTATCCATACAGATGTCTACACAGGTACTGTTCCTCTGGTCTCAGACATCTCCTGACCAAGCTGATTGTCTTATAAATCCAGACCCTGGCTGTGTAGAAATATGTGGACAACACTGTGACAGCAAAAATATAACTCAGTCCTCAAGCACCCGGGGCCTTTCTTGAGTTCCTGGATCCTGGCCCATGGCCGCCCAGCAGGTGTCGATCATGGTCCCAGCTGGTCTTGTGTTTTTGAGGCCATCTGCCCTCGTAAGACAGAGATGCTCCCTCCCTCCCTGACCTTCGAAGTCAAGCAGCAGTTAAGATCTGTCTATACAGTTCACTACTGCATTTATTTCAACTTATTTGGAAAATCACAGGGCGGGTGGCTTTCTCTCCTTAGGTAGCTTGGAAGACAAAGAGGGTAGGCATTGTGTTGACTTTGCCCCGACCTGGTCCGGTGATGGGCAAAGGCAGCACTGTGCAGTGTCTGGAGCCCTAGATTCTCAGTGTTTGCTGCTTGATTGGATGGATGAATGAGTGGATGAATGAGCGGTTCATATCTGGAGCCTATCCACGCAAAGGCTGCTGGCCTTTGGTCAGAGGCTCTGTCCTCTACCCTTCCTTCCTGTAGAAATATGTGGGTATATATGTGTGTGCACATGGGTGAGCATGAGTTGATAGCTGTGGCCTCATTAGCTTGGTCTCCCGGTGGTTCCTCCCCCAGAACTCAACAGTGATGGGACACTGGGACCTGATTCACGTCCAGGCACGGGTTCGTGTCCAGCTGCCATTACAGGAAGTACAATAACAGTGTTAAAGAAGCAACTTCTCCTGCCAGTTAGCCACTCTCTTTGCTTTTTTACAGAAATTATTCCCCGAGTCTCAGCATCCTCTTTATTCATAGCAGATGATTTCTTACCATCTGGAGGACGGTCTGCTGGACCAACCTGGGAAATCGCCCACCTGTTAGACTGATCTGGACCCACCTGCCCCGCTGGAACCAGTGACCTACAGAAGGCTGGATGCCCCCATACCGCCTCATCCGTTTTCTGTCAATAATCACAGGAAGTAACTTCAACCCAAGATTACAGGCCCGCCCCCAGCTGCGCCCTCCCCTGTGAGATGAGGGCCTACTGGGCCGTACGCCCGCGGCCTGAACTGGCCCTTCTAGTCCGCACTCCAGGAAACGGGGGTCCCAGAATTCCCTATCCAAGGACTCCTGACTCAGCTTCCTGGAGCCTGAGCTATTTCTGGGATCCAGTACCCAGAAGGCGGGCAATGGTAGACGTGAGGTGTGGCGAGTGGGGAGTAGTCAGAGCTTGGCCGGGTGGGCCGGGGGTGTCCACTTGCCTCTGCCTTGGGGCTCATCACAACGTGAGACGAAGCCTCAGTAAGAAGAAAGTGAGACAGGCTGCTGGTCGGTGACTGCGGTCTCCGGATCATCGCGAAGGGCTAACTATTAAAGCAGGAGGGTACGACGTATTCGAAGAGTCGCGTCCCTAAATGTTTTGCTTCGAAGTGTACAGACAGCGTGTGAGCCTCCGCCGGCACTACGGCCTCGAGCCCCGAGCCCCGCGAACGTTAGGGGCGGGTCTGCGGTCAAACCGCGCTGCCGAGGAGTTCCGCTCCAGGGGCGGAGGAGGCCCCACCCACTTGGCGGAGGAGTCCCGCACCAGGGGCGGAGGGATCGCTGTTTCTTCTCTGACTCTGCCTTTCAGCCTTGGGGTTTTGAGCATACTGATGAGTTTTATGAGTCTTATAGATGAAAGACCTTTCCTTAAAAGCACCTTTTCGAGCCATCAGACTTTTATATCTGCTGCCGGCAAGTGAATCGCAGGGCCTCTAGGAGCCGTTTATAGGTTAAGATTTAATTACCTAAAGACTGTAAGCCTCGCCATGGGATGACGTCAGGACCCCGGGGTGACTCAAGGGCAGGGCCTAGCATGCTAGGAACACAATCTCAGCCAATCGGAACAACCTCAGGTTGTGAGCAACGGTTTTGCTCATGTGCCTGGTGTTGCTATGGTAGGATCAGGGCTGTCAGCTTAAGAGAGGGGGTGGGTTGCTAAAAATGGTTACATATGCAAATGCAAACTTCAGCAGCACCTGTGTTGGCAGGCCGTGAGTGGGTGGCAGTTAGTCCTGGGCGGTCTGAGACATGTTGATGGCCAGGCTGCCCCAAGAGCTCATGCCACCCTTGCTTGTGTGATTCTTTAAAGACATCTTGACCAGGCATTCCTTAAATTCATTTCTCTCCAGCTGAACTCGCCACCCTCCCCATCGCTCACCTACAAGGCACCCTTTGGCCTGGCTAAGTTGGATTCCTCCTTGCAGTGTTCTGTGCTGACCAGGGCAGGTCTTTCCGCCCTATGTTCCTTTGTGACACACGATACACTGAACATCCAGGTTTGCTGCGGGGCTGTGATGTGAACGCAGGTCCCTGAGCATTGCATCTTTTCTTGCCTGCTGTATCCTCAGTGCTGGCAGAGCTTGCAGCATGGTTGGTACCCAAGAAATATTCCTGGAGATGCTGAATGAGTGACTCTTCCCCGTTGAGCTCTCACCCTAATACAGTCTAACCACTCCTCACCATCTGGCTGCTGCCAATCTAAGGCAAGTCAGCTTCACCGCCTTTCTGGGCTAATGTGACAGCCTCGTAACTAGTTGTATTGAGTTGAAAGGCGACCCCCAAAAGATATGTCTACATCCTAACCCCTAGAACTGTAAATGTGACTTTATGTGAGAAGCAGGTCTTTGCAGATCTAAATAAATGAAGGATTTCAAGAGGTCACCCTGGATTATCCAGAGAGGCCCTAAATCCAATGACAAGTCTTCTTAGGAGAGACAGAAGAGGAGAAAACATAGACACAGAAGAGAAAGCCATGTAAAGATGGAGGTGGAGGTTGGAGTGGTGCTGCCACAAGCCAAGGAACACCTGGAGCATCAGAACCAGAAGCAGCAAGGAAGGATTCTCTCCTAGAGCCTGCAGAGGGAGCCTGCCTGTTGACATCTTGATTTTAGCACTTTGGCCTCTAAAACCATTGAACATAAATTTTTAGTATTTTGAGCCACCACATTTATGGTAATTTGCATGGCAGCCCTAAGGAATGAATACACAAGTCTTCCTGCATCCATTCTTGGCCTCGTAGAGACTGTAACTTTTATCACAAAATCTTTTAATGGTCTTCCATCACTGTCAGAATGAAGCATAAACTCCTATGTGTGCCATCAAGAGCCAGCACACTCTAGAAGAGGTACAGGTGGCCAGTAAGCACATGCAAAAATGTTCAGCCTCATGAATTCTTAGAGGAATGCAAATCAAACAGTGAAATCACATTGGTGAGAATGGCCATCATCAAAAAAGTCTACAAATAATGAATGCTGGAGAGGGTGTGGAGAAAAGAGAGCCTCCTACATTCTTAGAATTTAAATTGGTGCAGCCACTATGGAAACAGTATGGAGATTCCTTTAAAAACTAAAAACAGAGCTACCCTAGGATTCAGCCATCTTGCTCTAGGGCATATATCCAGAAAAGATGAAAACTCTAATTCAAAAAGATACATGTAACCCAGTGTTCATAA